CGTGAAATTCCACTGCCTGCAGGAAACCCACTGATTTATGGTCAACCTCAACAAAGAGAGCTCCCTTGCCTCTCCATAGAGAAAATTCAGGAGCACAGAACCCACTCACATGCCCTCTTTGCACTTGTACACACTTTTCTAGTATCCCAGGATGTCAGTACATCATAATGTACAAATAATGATCACAATTTTGATAGTATAAAGTCCTTGATCATGCAAAAAGCTCAGAGTTTGGAAAGTAAATGTTGCCTTTGTCTGTGTGATAAATAAGCTCTGATAAAAAAAATTGCATTCTAACCTCCATAAAGTGCTTTCCAGTGTTCCATAGACTTAAGATAATTTATGGCTGGATGGTCTTTCTCAAACTGCTGTTTATCAATGAGAAACTGAGAGACTGTCCAGTCATCTTGGTTTGTTAGATGTAAACTGATATTTTCCCCCTCAGTTATAGTTTAAAATGGATATAGGATGTAAGAAAAGGAGTTTCATACTTGTGCTCTGTACACTATTAGTTGAAAGAGAAATATAAGGATCACAATGACATTGAGCCAAATTATTGGTGGTGTCAGTCCCTTGGCTTTAACTAGCGTTGAATTTGCACACTATATAATCTATTGCAATCTCCTCTAGGATTTTTCCATTTCAGCCCTTAATTGACTTGATTTTTTCCAGTCTTAGATTTGTGTAATGTAACCCCCTCAACCATTAAATCTCCTTAATCTGCTCTAATCTAAAAAATTAAGGCATAAAAACAGCACTTTCTTGTTCAATAAACCTCCTGTATCTTCTCTGTGCATTCAGTCATATCTGCTGACTTTACTAACTAAAGTAAGATTGTACTATATTTTGCTCCTGTTATCACCATGGAACAGATATGTCTCTAATGAGAGAGTTGGATTTTTCTGGCTCATACATCAAAACAGTTCATGTTGTAGAATTTCTATTGTTGATGTTGTAAGCTAGGTAGAACACAGTTTACTCTCAGATCCTAGGCTGAGTAGCATGCAGATGGCCAGGTCGTTCACCATTCAGTATGCAGAGTGCGGATGGAGATGATGATCTATTTCCATACTGGAAATATAGATGGCGTATGATGGGTAAGGTAAGCCATGGTTTTTGTTCTATAAAGTGGGGTTATTCTGTGGCCCTGGAATTTGCCACGAAACTATCTCTTGCTCCAGAACTGTGCAATAGAATCGAAGCTTTCATTAAAAAATAATAATAATTCTGTTGAATTGCACAGAAAAATTTCCTGTTTGCTCTCCCAGAGCTATGTTGGTTCTGTTGGGTTGATAAGAATAGAAAGCAGAAAAAAATCTTATTTCCTAAACAAATTCGAAGTAAAGTTGCATATTAAGTGTTTCCTTTATTACAATTATATTGTAAAGTATATACTAAAATATCAATTGACCTATCAAAATTTTCTATTGTCTGTAGTCTTAGAAATTAGGCCATTGCATCACTGAATCTATTTTAGGACACAAGATGTCTGCTCATCTGTTTGTTTCTGACGTGGATTCCCTCAGGAACAAGCCTGTCAATAGCAAACAACTTTTTGTTGGTTAATGAATTGTAAAAAGAAGCCTCAAGGTAACCTGACCATTCCTCTTTGTCGGAACACCCACTGAACCAGCTGTTTGCTTTCAAAGCTATGCCGGGTTTGAAGCTGTAATCTCACTTCTACATTCCTGTTTACCCAAAACTTTTCTACGGATGTTTTCAAAGGGCAGTGTTTAGCACGAGCTGTGCACTTCTAAGTTTTGGACAGCCCCCTCCTGTTCTTTTTTGTACATGCTGCTTTATCAATATCATGCTCCGCTCAGAGATCTGAAGTCTACAGTGGGTGAAGCAAGACACCAAAATAAACTCACCAAGGTTGCTGTAATCCCAACTGAATCACAAGGAGGGCCAAAGTCTGGCTTCCTAACCAGAGGTGAGCCGAGGGAGGAGGTGGCAGTAGCAATATTGTGCTTGTGTGGTGGTGATCAGAAGCGCTTGGCTGGTACAGAGCAAATGCAGTCAGACTATTTTGGGTGCTGCATGGAGCATACTGAGCGGCAGCAGTGTTTCACAGAGCTGTGCAGCATGAGTTTGGCCACCAGCAGGTGCACAGGCGCACTGCCCCCGGGCCACCAATCTAATTAGTTACCCCCCTTTGAAATGAGGAGCACTGTGTATTGACTGGCCATAGAGCCTCAAATTCAAGACCACTGTGTCTGGATTCTGGATTCCTCCTGTGTGAGTGGGCTAGGAGTGGGGACCTGAGGAGAGCATATCAGCAGACTAACAGTTGTCAAGTGTTTTTTGTAGGCATTACAGATAGTTGTGTTCGGTATTTTGACTTGTTTATATTTATTGTGGGGAAAAAGGTGATGCTGCCTCCATGGCTGACTCTGACCAGCCTCCATGGCTGACTAGTGATATCCCTCTCCCCCAGTCAATGGGAACTGTGGGGATCGGCGCCTGTAGTGGACATTGCCGGCAGCGTGCCTGCGTGTCTCTCCTCCGCGGGCTGCAGTGGGGAGGTTCTTGGGCTGCAGATGGCCTGTGGGCCGGGACTTTGAGACTCCTGATGTAGAGGTTACTGTACCTTCTTCCTCTCAATCCTCTGAACACACACACACACACACACACACACACACACACACACAGGGCCAGTCATTATTTATCCATAAATGATTTGGAAGTAAATGGATTTCTTCCTGTATTGCATCATCTCATGCACATTGGGCCTGATTATTCCCTCATTCTCACTGGCTGTACAGGGGTGGTTTAGTCGTATTTATCATTGCGTGCTCCCAGGACCAAGATACTCCGTCACTGTTAAACCATGGTGAAGTAAAAACCAGCAAAACATAGTATAAATTATGAAATGTGACCTCATTTTTAAAAATGTAGGCAAGGATCTACACAGAGGCTGACAGACTAGAACTGGAAATCTAGACTATATAAATTTTAAATGGGGAGAGAGTGAGATAAGCTTTTATTATTATTTGTAATAGAGCACTTAGGAGCCCTAGTCATGGACCAGGACCCCATTATGCTAGGTGCTGTACATGCACCAAACAAAATGACAGTCCCTGCCCCAAAGAGCTCACAGTCGAAGTATAAAACCAAGAGACAATAGATAGATGCAAACAGATGGGGAACTACCAGGAAACAATGACAAAGTTGTTGTCTCAGCATATCAGCAGACTAACAGTTGTCAAGTTTTTTGTAGGCATTACGGCAAAGGAGAGTTGTAAGGAGGGTTTTCGAGGAAGATAATGCATTGGTTTTGCAGATGTTTTCAGGGAGCTCCTCCCAAACACGAGGGACAGCATGTGAGAAAGCACAACAGTGCTTGTGTGAAAATTTAAGAAGTTGCTGGTAGAGGCTGGCATCGTGGGACTGATCGGAGTTGAGAGTTGACATTTCAGTAGGGACTCATAGTGTATGATTGAATGATTGGTAGGGTGGGGATAGGCCCTGAGTGCGAAGAGAAGCAGCTTATGTTTGTTTTATACAATAGAGAAGAGGGGCCCAGGGAGAGATGCAAAGAAAGGAATGACACATAGATGCCAACTTCTCCTGTCGTCGGTGAGTGCTTGACCCCCCCCGTCCCTTGCCCCACCCCAACTTCATCCCTGCCCCGCCCCCATTCCAACCCCTTCCCCAAAGTCCCGCCCCCACTCCACCCCCTCCCTGCCCCTATTGGACTCCTTCCCCAAATCCCCGGCCCTGCCTCTTCCCCGCCTACTCTCCTGAGCATGCCCACGTTCCCACTCCTCCCCCTCCCTCCCACAGCTTTTTATGCCATGAAACAGCTGTTTTGCGGTGACAAGTGCTGGGAGGAGAAGCGGGGATGCGGCGCGCTCAGAGGAGGAGGCGGAGGTAAGGTGAGCCGGGGCGGGGGGGCAGGGTGGGGAGCTTGGCTGCCGGTGGGTGCAGAGCACCCACCAATTTTTCCCCGTGGGTGCTCCAGCCCCGGAGCACCCACGGAGTCGGCACCTATAGAATGACATGGTCAAAGTGATGGGCTAGGAGAATGATCTTTGCAGCTGCATTATGAATGGATATCAGCAAGGCAAGATTGCATTTCTCGAGGGCAGAGAAAAAGATATTGAAGTAACTGAGATGTGAGAGGATGAGAACCTGAATTGGAGTTTTAGGTGTGTAGATGGGCAGGAGAAGTTGCATCTTACAGATATTATGCACAAAGAATCAATATTAGACATAGCCTGGATGTAAAGACCTAGAAAGATGTTTAAATCAAAGATTACTCTCAGATTATGGGTCTGAGTAGCACTGTTCACAGTGATCAAGAAAGGATGTAGCAGGAAGGATTTGGGGGAGAAGATTGAGAGTTCTTTTTTAGCCATGTTGAGTATGAGCTGACGGCTACATATCCACTAGAAGAGGTTAGCGAGACAAGCCAAGATTTTGATTTGGACAGAAGGACAGGTCTGGAGTAGAGAGGTAGATCTGTGAGTCATCAGCGTAAGAACATAAGAACAACCATATAGGGTCAGACCAGTGGTCCATCTAGCCCAGTATCCTGTCTTTGAACAGTGGCCAACGCCAGGTCCTTTGAAGGGAAGAACAGAACAGGCAATCATTTAGTGATCCACCCTCTGTCGTCCACTCCTAGCTTCTGGCAATCAGAGGCTAGGGACACCCAGAGCAGGGCCGGCTTTAGGCCGATTCCACCGATTCCCCTGAATTGGGCCCCGCCCCTAAGAGGGCCCCTTGCAGATCGGGCAGTGTCCCTGCCTGAAGCAAAGCTCTGTGGCTCTCCCGGAAGCAGCAGCTGTTGCTGCTAGGCAGCGAGAGACGCTGGCCGGCAGGGGCCTGAGGCAGAGGCAGCAGCGGCTGTTGCAGGTCAGGAGGGGCAGGGGGGAAGAAGGCACATGTGCTTTGCAGCCTTCCCCTCCCCTCCCCCCAGCACTCACCTGGAGGAGACACCGAGGGGGCTTCCGGTCCGGTGGGAGACAGGAATCTCGGCAGTGGACCTCACTCACCTTAGCAGCTGCTGGGGCTTCGGTCGGTGAGAATTTGACCCCGTGATTCCCCCTAGGTGTGTAATATTGGGTTGGTTTTGTGGTTTTCGGTGGTGTTGCTGTTTGAGGGTGAGTTGTGCCTGCCTGCGTCTGTTTCAAAACTAAACTCGGGATCATGTAACCCAGGAAGAAAGCCCCGAGCCAGTAGTTAGTGCTGTGAATTCCAGGTGAGAGA